AAGTGTCGGGTTGGAAGAGCAATCAGAAGGCCATCATTAACCAATCTTAGGAAGTGTGGAGGGGAGTAAAGCATGGTTTATTCATCTGTAAAACAGGGATAATAGCAGAGGCACATCCCCATACCCTTCCCCAAGACTACTGTCAGGAGGGGCAGCTAGTTGATGCAGTCAGGAGGGCCTGAGTTCAAATCCCACCTCAGACCAAACACTTGACATTTACTGGCTGTGTGACCCTGGGCAAGTCACTCAACCCCAATTGCCTAAAAAAAAAAAAAAGACTATTGTCAAGAAAACTTTTTCAACCTCTGGAAGGTGGCCTCTAAGACCATGCCCAGTGCTCTGTCCTGTGCATCAACCCTGAGAGGTTCAGGGACCAGAGCTTGGAGTTAAGGGAGGGCCGGGCCCATGGAAGAGGCGTAGGGGCTGGCACAATTGTTGGAGTCCAGCCTGCTACCCACTTCCTCACCTCTACCCCAAACTTGCCGACCAAGTTCCTTCCCAGGTCTGGACACTGGTTTTCTTTTTCTGGTCGCATGAAAAGAGGGCTGGACCTCCAGCTTGGAGAGTTGATGTTCCATGACTCCAGGCCCTTGACTTTCTCCATGACCTGGTTCAATGTCCGCACAAATATAAAGAAGAGAAAGAGAAACGCTCCTGGCTAGAGTTCCAGGTTGTCTGGAGAGTGCCAGGGTCCAGCCTGGGTCCCCTTGGCCATACCCACAGGTATTATACTACCATGCTGAGCCTGTGAGGTCTCTGCACTAACTGTCCAGAGCCACCTTTAAACCTCTATTGTTTGACTTCACCCGAGAGGCAGGATGGATAATCTAGCCATGGTGTTGTGGTCCAAGTGGCTGAGGATGCTGCCTTGGGAGCACCCCCTCCCCCCAGCCTCAGACCAAGGCAGAGCCCTGGGGGAGGAGACAGGATAACCTCCACTGGTAGATTCACCAAACCCTTGACATCCCTGCTCCTTCCAGTCAAAGCACAGAGTTTGATTGAACAGAAATTGATACAAATCTGGGTTCTCCAGCATCGCTAACAATTCCCACTCTGTTCACATGGACAGGACAGCTGGCCCGGCCATTCGACCCAAGCTCTCTGGCTGTGAGGGAACAATGTTCCCCTTATGGTGAGTGGAAAATGGCTGTTACAGTCCCAGTACACCCGAAGGAAATTTGAGCTCTTCACTCGAATGTGGGCTTTGGAGAGAACCTGAGGATGTGGGTGGAGTTGGTCACCCTGCCAGGAAAAGTGGGGCCATGTACTAGATTCTACTGGACAAAGGACCTGAGAGCTGGACAGGCAGAAACCAGTGTGGCAGGTGAAGCCGTGGAACAAGGAGCTTTCTGAGGGGAAGACGATGATACCTCACAATGAGAGGCCATAGTGGAGGGAAGTCTGAAAAGTGGGGGTTGGGGGCCCCAGGGAGATGCCAACCTTTGGTGGACAACAGCTACCTAAAGGGAAGGACACTGGGCATCAGGAGTGATGGACCTAGAACCAGCTTAGCCACTAACAAGCCATGTGCCAACCGTAGACAAGCAAGTTGGAATCAGACCCTCAGGGCCAGGAGGATCACTGGAAAGTTTTCCCTGAAGCTGTCCCTCAATTGGCCCTTTTGTAACTCCCCTCCATCATTTCTAGTTCTGTCCTCCAGGACCAAAGAGGCTAACTTTCTGTGTGACAGCCCTACAGATAATGGAGCATACTCTCATATCCACCATGACTCTTCTCCAGGCCAGGTATCTCCTGTTTCTTCCCCTGAGTTAAGGCCCTTCCCTGTCCTGGCTGCCCTCCTTTGGACTGCCTCCAGTTTGCTAATGCCTTTCCAATGGGGGTTAGGGGGAAGGGGAGGAGATGGGATTCCTACCCCTCCCCTAGCTTACATGATGCAGTGACAGAAGGCGGTCTTCGCCAATAGCGTCAAACTCAAAGAGAAATGGAGGTCACCGGTACATAAAGATCCCTGCAGGCCCACAGTGACTAAGAATACCACATGTTAATGTTATTTTTTAAAACTTTGTTACATATTTCCCAATTATATTTTAATCTGATTTGGGCCACTCTCAGGAATGTTTGTTTGTTTTTTGGCTAGGCAAGGGGGTGGAGTGTCATGTGTCTGAGGCTGAATTTGAACTCAGGTTCTCCTGACTCCAGGGCTAGTGCTCTATCCACTGTACCACCTAGCTGCCCCCAACACTTAGGAGTGTTTTGGGAAGCAAGTTGCCACTGGGCAGAGTGTTTGACATCTCTGGTCTAGGAGACCATTTAATTTGTAATTGAGAAGTAACAGTTTCTTGCAATCCATTTATGAGGGCAAAGATCTCTGAATTAAGAAGGCAAAAACACAACTGGCTGAGCAAACAAGTTGGCCACACCCCTTTGAGATCTGCCTGTAGAGGAGACACAGGGGAGGGAAGGGGAGAGAAAAATTTCTCTCTCTCTCTCTCTCAATTTTTTCAGTCCTGTCTGACTCTTCGTGACCTCATTTGGGATTTTCTTGGCAAAGATACTGGAGTGGTTTCCTTCTCCAGCTCATTTTACAGTTGAGAAAACTGAGGCAAACAGGTTGAGTGAATTGCCCAGGGTCACACAGCTAGTGAGTGTCTGAGGTCAAATCTGAACTCAGATCTTCCTGACTCCAGGCCTAGTGCTCTATCCATTGTATCACCCAACTGCCCACCCCACTACATCTGCCATATTGTAGCTTTGAATTTGACCAGTTGGAAATAATGTATCCAAAGGGAAGTGAGATGCACTTCAGACAGAATGAGATACTGAGACTCATCAGAGTAAAAGAGACTTAAGTTGGAAAAAATCTCGATTTTTTGTTGATAATTTTTGTTATTAAATGACATTCTTTTCCAAATACATTCTACCTAGTGAGCAATGGATCTCTAGTAATAACTGAAAAAGAAAGAGAAGAAAAAAATGCCCAGTTCAGGAAAACCAACCAAAAACATCAAGGGTGTCTAATAGTGCAGTGTTCAACACACATGGACACCCATAGTCTCATCTCTGGAGAGTCAGGGGAACCTAATTTCAAATCCCAGGTCAGATATTTACTAGTTGTGTGACTCTGGGCAAGTCAGTTAACCACTCTGAGTCATAGTTTACTCTTTGGTAAACTAGGGATGGGGCAGCAAGGTGACTCAGTGGATAGAATACTGGGCCTGGGGTGAGGAAGACCTGAGTTCAAATTTGACCTCAGATACTTATTAGCTGCATGACCCTGGGCAAATCACTCAACCTGTTTGCCTTAATCCCCCGGAAAAGTAAATGGCAAACCACTCTAGGATCTTTGCCAAGAAAACCATATGGACAGAGTTGGCGTGCTTCAGTCCACAGGGTCATGAAGAGTAGGACACCGCTGAACAAGAAAAAAATAAGGACATCAAGGGATGGTAGAGACTTAGGTGAGGTGTGGACTTAGGGCACCTTAGAAACCTCCACAAGCTATTGGAATGTGGGCTTTTGTCCTTGTGATTTTCTCAAGCTCAGCACAAATACATCTGCCCCAAAGCCTAGTGACCTCCATGAGATCATGGGGGCCATCAGAGTCACACACACTTTGTCTCAGTTTCGTGTTCTTTCCATGTATGTTGATGGTGGTGTGTCCATCATTCTCCTGGTTCTGCTTACTTCACTCTGCATCTGTCCACGTAAATCTTCCTACACTTCTTTGTATTTTGCATGTTCATAATTTTGACAGCACAGTAATATGCCATGATATTCCGGAACCATGATTTGCTATTTCTCAGTTGATGGGCATCAGACACTCAACTGATGGACCAACACCAATGTTCTGGTGTAGAGAGCTTTGCTTTTCATCATCAGCCTCCTCAGGGCATGTGTGGCCAACAGCGGGATCTCGGCTCAAAGGGTATGGCCATCTTATTCACTTTCCCACCATCTCTTCATTCCCCATCAACCTGGGCTCCTTTGGACTGCTTTGGACTCTCCATCATGCCCCCACGGACCACATCGTTGGGAAATCTCATCCTGAAAGATCTGGATTTGCTTTGGTACTCACACTTCATCGATCCCTTCTGCCCCTCTGATTGGAGGGCAGAATCATGAGCTATACAACTCCATTTAAGGAGGGGGCCCAGGCCATCTACCTCCGCTTCCCACCCTCCTGGCGCCTTTGATTTCTCCATTATATACCCCACCCCCAACCATCTTCAGCCCTCTTTTGTGTACCATCTTCCCCCATTAGACTGTAAAGGCAGACATTGTCTTCCTTTTTTGCACTTGTATCCCCAACACTTAGCACAGGGCCTGACGCATAGCAGGCACCTATTAAAAACCAAGTAACTTAGTATAATTCCAGACTCCTTTCCTGAATGGTTGGATAGCTCCACCAACAGGCTGTGCATTAGAGCCTGTGGCCACTCTAACAAGATGCACTGACCTTTCTTTTGGCACCGTTGCTAATCTGCTGGGTGTGAGGTGAACTCTCGATGTTCTCTGGCATGCACTTCTTCTATTTGTGATTTGGAACAGTCTTACTTGTGCATGTTAAGAGAGATTTTCCTTTGGGGAATGGTTTTAGTCTGATACCTGTGTTGAACATCAGGTCTATATCAGAGACATTTTATGCTCCTTGTGTCTCTTTGATAAAGGAGAGACTGTCTCTCAGATCCTGTAAGAACCCAGAGACAAAGCCAGGGCCTGTTCCTCCTCTGTTTCCCCACAGACTACAAGTTCCCTGAGGGCAGGACCTGAGTCCCCCCAGATGAGTCTCTGAATGACAAACCTAACCCCCTCAGACCCGGGACTCCTGCAAAACCGTCTCCTCAATCAGAGGTACCCAGGGCCTCCTCTTCCAACCAAGTACTCCCACAGGGCCTGCTCTATTTCCCTCAAGGTCACTTGTCTCCCCTTGGAGCAGGGGCCTCCCCCAAAGTCTTGTCTCCACTCACCTACGCTGTCTTTCCCCAGAGAAGGGTAGGTTCTAGGCAGGCTTCAGGCATTGACTGAGGCAGAGCCAGGAAGACTGGAATCTCTGTTTTATTGATCATTTCCCCAACTTCTTCAGCGGACATTTTGTGCCCATCAGGCCCTGCCCCCCAATTTATCAGTCCCTTTAGATCACCTCCATCACCTCCAGGCGCCCTCAGATTGGCTCTCTGGGCACACCATGCTTCCGATCTGGTCCTGGGGCAGCCAGAAGGGCCCTTGGCACCTAAGCCTCGGTCGCTGCTATCACCACAGTTTTCACCTTCATCTCAGTGGCCTTTAGGGATTCTGTTGGGCTCCAGGTTCCCCAGTGGATGTCAGAACTCCAGATTTTGTGGTCCCCCTCAGGATGCCAGTCACCATGGAGATTGGCCACCCCACAGTCGCTGAACCACCAGCCTGCACCCCCTTTCTGTTGGCTGCATTCATTGAAGGCTATGTCACCGCTAATGCAGGGGTTACAGGAGTCATGGTCCCTGTCCAGGGTGCTGAAGGCACTCCCTACCTGGGAGGCTGCTCCTCTCCAGTTTTCACCACCGAAGGAGTCTCCTGCACATAAGAACAGTGGCTGGGACCATGGCCTCCGACACTGAGTAATGCCATCTCCTCTGACCTCCCTCCCACCCTGTCCAGAGCCCAGGCTCAGAGTAGGTGCCCCTGTCTCTGTCCAGGCCCTTCCTATGCACTGCTGGGGCTACTGTCTCTGTCTGGGCCCAGGCACCACTGCCCTGCCGGCCCTCTGTTCAGGGAGCCCTGTCCCCGTCTGCGACACTCATCCCAACCTATCTTCTGTTCTGCTCCATGACCTCCTGGCCATAGAACTTGAGGCCCTGGGCTAGTGACCATTTCCACCAGTTACTTAGGGCGAGTCATTTAACGCATGTGCAGATGATACAAGACGAGGACGGAGAGGCAGCTCAGTAGATGACGACATCAGGATTAACAAAGACCCGGAGAGGTCTTTGCCCAGGGCTGGACCTAGTAAAACATACTTCAATCGGGATAAATGCAAACAATCACGCAACTGGCCACCAAAACAAATTAACGTCCCAAGTATCAGATGGAGGAGCAAGAGGCAGAGATGGAGAGCAATCGTTCTGAAAGCGATCTGGGGGTTTTGGTGAACCACACGCTGTGTATCAGTCAGCAATGTGATCCGGCGGTCAAAAAAGCCCATGGCTCAGGCTGCATTACTAGCTTCTGGGAGTAAGGAAGCTGACAGTCTCCCTGTACTCAGACCTGGCCAGACAACACCCAAAGACTGCATTCAGTGGGCTGCAGTGTAAGACAGTCATGGAGTCCACAAGAGGGCGCCAAGAATGAAGACGGACCCTTAGGTCATCGATAAGCAGCAGCCCAAAGAACCAGGGATGGTTAGCCTGGAGACAGGCAGGGTCGGGGAATGACAGCTGTTTCCTAACCACGAGAGCTGGTTCACTGCCGGTTAGGGATGTTAGCGTCGGGATTCCTTTTCAGGTAGGGATGGGACCAGATGGTACCAGGGTCCCTTCCGGCTCTCAGATTCCCTGATTCCACGACACTTACGTGCCCCACCCATCCTCATCTCTTCTGAAATTCCGTCTGTCAAAGGGTTTCCCAACCTTTGGGTCACTCAGCTCCTCACTGTCCTTCACCCCCAACATCCAACGGCTGCTAACGCTTGTTGTTTCTTCCTGCGCGACTTCTGCTCCCTCCTCGGCACTCCCAGGCTTTCGTGACGCCTAATCTGGACTGGCGCATTCTCACTGGTCTGTACCTTCTCCAGTTTATTCTCTCCCTAGCTGCCAAACAGAGGTCCCTAAAGCTCAGATCTGACTGCGCCACTCCTCCACTCAACAGGCTCCTAGTGGCTCCCTATTGTCTCCAGGAAACTCCTCGGTCTGGCATTGAAACGATCAGATTGATTCTGGTGTTTTAACTGGTCCTATTTATGATTAATTAATTTTGTCCTGTAACTGCCTAAGTCATGATTCTTTGTCTCCGAACTTAATTCAGAAATTTAGCCGGCCTGTCCCGAGTTAAGGTGAGAAATCCAATTCCCCTGCTCATCACCGTCCTGTTCTTGCCTCCAGGAAATCTGCTTTCCTGGAGGGATGCAGGGGGATGCCAGGGCGCCTGGTCTAAGAGCTTCACGCCACCAAGCCATCCTTCAAGGATGCCTGGTGTGTTCTCCAAAGATGCCTGGGCCTCGATGTCCAGTCGTGCAGACGGACTCCAGCGATGACCACTTCTCAGTGACGGGGAATGAGGGGCGGTTGCTGGCCCCTCCTCGATTTCCAACCAGTCACATTGCTCCCAGCACTTCAGCTCTGGGATTAATCGCAGCAAACCCGCCATTTATAACGTCAGCCCGTCTAGCCAGCCATAGTTCGTTCCCCGCCGTCGAGCATCTGTTCTTCGGGCTGTCCTCCTCGAAAGTGTAGAAGAGAGAGAACCACTCCCTCATGCTGGGGAAGACGAGATCCGAGTGACTGGTGAATTTGCACTTTACCAATAAGTTGATGGTACTCAGGACTTTGCGCCTCAGTTTACCTTAATTTTAACTGTTACAGTCTTTAGAGATCTTCACAGGCTGGCTCCCACATGTTCATCCTCATGCCCGGCACCCTCCCCGGCAACCATGGACTTTATCCCTGACTCTGACAGGTGAGATTTGCCTTACCTTGCTGGGAGCTAGAGCCCCAACACTGATCAGCCGTTTCCTCACCATATTGCGGTGTGCATGCTTTCCCTACTTTATTCATACTTTCTTCCTACTAGAATGTAGACTCCTTGAGGGCAGGGCTTGCTTACTTGCATTTGTATCACCGGGGTTTAGCACACTGTAAATACTTAACACATGCTCTGTCTGTCTGTCTGTCCATTCATCCACCTACCTATCCATCCATCCACATTTACTTTGTCTTTGCCCTCGCTGAGCACGTGGTGGAGTACTTCATAAGCACCGGACGAATGAGGACAAGACCAATATCGAGGGACCGGGGGGAGTCCGTGCCCATCTTCAGCCCCATCTCGAGCTCCTTCCAAGGACCCTCCTATGGCGGCATCTCTAGTCCTGTCCCCATCCTGGTCCCCTTCTTCACCTTTACCTCTTGGGGTCCCTTCCAGGCTCGGCTCAAGCACCCCACTCTTAGAAGAAGCCGAGGAATCACTCCAGCCCCCCATCACTGTATTCTGGGGGATTAACAGTCTCACTTCACTTATCTGCAAAGTTGTCATATCCCCCTAGTAAAATGGAAGCTCCTCAAAGAAAGGCATTGTCCTATGTTGGCATCTGGCCCAGGGCCTGGCACATAAATGCTTGTTGATTGCTTGGTCTGTAAGCACACTCTGGCTTGGCCTCAATGACCTTCCTAGACAGGAGGAACCACCAGGCCCCAAACACCTCTCAAACATTACACCTCTCGTGGCAGCCTACAACTGTATTGAACTGTCGGGTCACACTGCTAACTCACACCGAACCTGGAGTCCATTAAGACCGCCAGGATCGTTTTCAGATGAAAGGCTGTCTAGTCACATTTCATTTTCTACTTGGGAGGCCGATGACTAGAACCCAAGTATAGGAATTTATTGTTACATTCTACTCTATAGAAATCCTTTTGGGGGCAGCTAGGTGGCACAGTGGATAGAGCTCTGGCCTTGGAGTCAGGAGGTCCTGAGTACAAACCTGGCCTCACACACTTGACACTTACTAACTGTGTGACCCTGGGCAAGTCACTTAACTCCAATTGCCTTACCTCCCCCCCCTCAAAAAAAAAAAAGAAAGAAATCTTTTTGGATCCCGATTCAATTTTCCATTATGTTAGCTGCCCCTTCAAGCTTTAGCCCATCCATAAAAGTAAGAAGTATTCCATCTCTGCCTTTATTCAAGTAGTGGGTAAAGGTTTTATATAGTCTATAGCCAAGGACAGATCCCTGGGGCACTCCACTAAAGACTTCTAGAAAGGCTAAGCTATCATTACTCTTTGAGTTTAGCCATTCCACCGATTCTGAATATACTGAACTATGTTATTCTCTAACCCACATCTTTTCACTGTAGCATTAATGTCTTTGTCAAATGCTCGTTTAAAATCTGGGTTAATGATAGCTATAGAATTCTCCTTATCTACCAGTTCAGTAAACCCACCTACAAAAGAAGGAGGTCAGTTTGGCCTTCCTGGTTCTTTGAGGTCACTGCTTCCTGTTCTGAGTAGTCACTAAGCACTCCTTTAAAAAATATGTTCTAGAATCTTGGCAAGAGTCAGGCTCACTGGCCTGGAGTTTGAAGACTGTGTTCTTTGTCTTTTGTTTTGTGAAAATCAGGACACTGCCCAGGGGCCCCGGGACCCCCTCCCAAGGTCCCGTCTGCCAGAGCTCCTCAGACCTCACTGACGTCATCAAGGCCACTTAAGGATTCTCTTCTCGTCTCATCCCTCGACCCAAAGCTTGGTCATTTGGGTTCTGCTGTTTTCAGGCCAAAGATCACCTTCTGAGCCTCTCTATGGCCAAAACAAACACTGCCTCGTTTTTCTTACCCGCCCGGCTCACCCTGAGCTTTAGCGATCCTGGCCAAATGGAATGACTCTCTGATCCCCAAAATGTCCCGCTTTACGTCTGGAATGTCACCCCCCCCCCCTTTCTACCTGCTCAATTTCTACACATCTTTTTAAGCCCTGAAATGATGTCACCTCCTCCAGGGAGCATTTAGCCCCTCTAAGGAATGGCCTTGTCCTTCTGAACCCTCTCTGATGTGCTTGTCAATATAACGCATGGCTCTCTGTGTTTATCTTATTATTGTGTTCCACATAGGTGAACTCTGTATCTCTCCCATGCTAAGTTCCAGGGAGCTGCATACAGTAGGAGCTACATAAATGTTCACTGGATGAATCTAAAGAATTAAATGCATTAACATCTAATGAATGGATGCCCTAATAAATATCTATTGGATTGTCTAAGTCCCCCATGCAAACCCAGGGCCGTGCACACAGTAGGAGTCTAATTACTCTTTGCTGAATTTCACCATATTAGAGAGAGGGCTCACTCTCTCCCCTGGCAAAGCTGGGCTCACCTGCATTTCCAGAGTACCTGCCCAGTTTCAGGGTGTAGAAACTGGACTTATCACTGATCTGGAAAGAGTCATACAGGGCATGGCGGCTCTCATTTTCAAAATTGTGTAAATCCAGTTTCAGCTGGGCGCGGGTGCCGGGCTGGTGCGTCAGGAAGTAAAGTTTTGACAGGCCCAACCAGTGTTCACCTGCGAGGGAGGGGAAGCCCCATCATGGAAGGCCAAGGGGGAAGGTATCAGCCATTCTTAGCCGCAGCCCCTGCAGCCATTCCCGTGGGTCCCACTGGGGAACAGGCAGCCGGCTTCCCTGGCTTGGAAGGGCACCGGAGGAAGTCCCTTGAGGCGTCTGACCTGGATGTTCCAGTCACTTTCAGCCTTGTCTGTGCCTCTGGATCCAGTCTCCCCTCCCTGCCTATGCTAACCCTGGGGATCTCTCTACCAGCCCAAAGGCCAGCTCCTCACCTCCGGGTGGCCAACATCCCACCCCAGGCTGGCTCCCCTGGGCAGCCCTGACTTCCCGTGAGCGTGAGCTCATGCCAGCTAGCGGCAGAACAGCGCGCCCAGTGAACTCCAATCAGAGATGCAGGGCTGCGGATGGGGTCACCTGATGGTTGGCACTAGCCGCTTTTAGGGTGGGATTGTGGGCGGGATGTTCTAGGTTCGTACTTCTATGGAGAATTTTCCACTTTCAGACTGGGCACGATTCTGGATTATCCCACTTTGGTGGAGGAGGGGAGAGAGATCTGACATGCTGCATTATTCCGTTCTGCCTACTGGATTCTCTTCAATTATCTGATGCCCTCAATTGTCCAGTTTTGAGGGTGGCTAGGTGAGAGGAGTTGTCCCTTGCTCTAGGGATTATCTCGGTTTTTTTTGGGGGGGGGTGAAGAATTGTTCCCTGTTCTAAGGATTACCCACAACTATCTTGATTATTTCCTGGGGGGTGTCTGAATGGGATGGGCCCTGCTCTAGGGTTAAGCCCCACCATTTCCCGGCAGGCCCCTGCGAAGTTGCCCCATGGTGGTGCTCCGGGACGCTCCAGCTTGCTCACCTTCCACATCCCCAAAGCCATAATCATACTCCCACCAGACACGGTCAAACGCCAACGGCTTGCCGTTGCCCCCTGTCCGCCTCTGGAAGACTGTCCAGCCGCCATCTTCTCCCATGTCACAGTAAGCCTGATGGGTTACAAGATTCATGGGAGGTGAAAGGGGGCATTCCCTCCAACCCACAGACTCTTTTAAGCAGAGTTGTCTCAGATAGGTAAAGCTAGGGGGCCATCCCTGACCCCCCAAAAAAGGGCCTCTTCACCCTCCTTCTATGCCACACTTTCCCTGCCTCCAATCCTTTTAGAGATGGGGATGGAAAACACGTCCCATTTCTATGGCACCCTAAGGCTTATAAGGCCCCTGTGAGGCAGGCAGTGCAAAGAACACCACTCCCATTTTATGGAGGAGAAAACTGAGGCTCAGAGAAGGAAAGGGGCTTGTCCCATCTCTCATTGTCCACAACCAGACAATGTCGGGGCCCCTTTGTCTGAACGGCCCCACACATCTAATGTGTGGCCAACTCTACCGTCCACCATTCCCTTCTCTCCACTGGCCTTTCACCTGGCCTATGACAACAGCCTTCTGCCTGCCTCTAGTCTCTCTGCAGTCCAACCCATTGTCCACTCAGCTGCTAATGGAGCCCCTGGGGCAAACGTAAAGCCCTTCGGGTCCTGCTCAGCCTTCTTCCCCTTTCTCCAGCCGCACCCCATTTCCCATTTCCCGCCTCTGGGCTTGTTCTCGAGTTACCTCCACCTCTGAGCTTTCCTGGCTTCCTTCCAGACTCAGCCCCTCAGAGACCTCCCTCCTTCCCCTGTGTATGACTGCGGGTCCCAGACCCTCGTCTTTCTCATTAGAATCTATCTTCTTGTAGGCAGGGCCCTTGGCTGTGCCTTTTTCTGTATCCTCAGTACTTAGCACACAGTAGGTGCTTAATAGATGTTGTTCGACTGACCCGGAAGGCATCAGGGGTCCCCTCTGGCCTGATGACATACACGCCACTCGGGGACTTTGGGTTGTCTGTCCAGATCTGGGAGCAGTCGTTTCCTGTACGGGACAGAGAAGCAGAGCTGAGCATGGGGCTTCTGAGGACCCTGCCTTGAGGTGGTCTATACCTGCAACCGTCTTCACAGCCAGCCTCTCTGGCTCTCCAAAGTCCAGTCCTAAGAGTCAGGGGCTCGGAGTCTCTGTTCACTTGTCTCACATCAAATCAGACCATGAAATATAGAGTAACCAGGGCCTTCAGGGGTCATCTCATCCAACTGAGGCCCAGAGCTAGGAAGACACTTGCCCAAGGTCACACGGGGAATTCATGGTAGGGGTGGGATTCCCACCTGGGCCCTCTGACTCCAGAACTAGCAAAGAAATGGGAAACAGGGCTGGGAGTCAACCCTGGGAGGCTTTCTGGAGGAAGGGGCTTTGAGGTTGGACGGGAGTTACCATCCCACTCTCCACATAGGGAAAGTAACGGTTGAGGGCAAGGCAGTTAAGGAGAAATCCCATTGTCCCTCATGACCCAGACTCTCCTCCCCTGCCCTGCCCTGCCGTCTGTAGTCCCATCTCCCACAGGAGAGGGCCCAGCTTCTCAGGGGATGGTCACCTCCAGGGCTATGGCTGGGCTTGGGTTCAAGTGAAGAGTCAAGCTCTCCTCAGGGTCAGGCTTAAGGTCATGGTTTCCTGCCATCCTAATCCTTTGGATTCACTGCTTAAGAGCTGAAGAATTCCCTGAAAGCCCCATCTCAGCCCAGGGTCCCAGCCCAGGGTCCCAGCCAGACCTTGACTCTCCAGCTTTGCAGCTTTCCCCAGCACCTGTGGAAGGAGCAGAAACGTTAGCATCCACCGGGGAACTGCCAGCCTGGGGGAACCAGCCATTGCAGCCTGCCCACCACAGCAGGGAGTAGTTAGAGAGGCTGATGCGGGTTCCAGGAATTCCAATGATGCTACTGCCCCACAGTGGCCCAGGTTGCCTTGGGAGACCGAGAGCCCACGTAGGTGCTGCAAGCACAGAGTTTAACCTGCCTCCCTCTGGCTGCAGGGGCGATCCCCGTTGGCTCCCAGCTGACGCTGCCAAGTATATGGGAAATCAGGTGGCTGATTGCAGCCAAGTCCCCACTTAGACCCTCAGTGTCTTCATGTGTAAAATGGAGAACACACTACTCAGACTACTTCAGCAGGGTCCACATAAGGCCCTGATGAGGTGATATCTGTAAAGTGCTTTGTAAACCTTCCAGCTCTGTCAGCGTGTTGGTGATGATGAAGGCAGCTGGGATGCTGCTTGTTTCTCGATAGTTGGGGCAGCAGGTGGTACAGTGGATAGCATGCCAGGGCTGGAGGCAGGAAGACCTGAGCTCAAATCCAGCCTCAGACACTTAACTGTGTGACCCTGGACAAGTCACTTTACCCTGTTTCCCTCAGTTTCTTCATCTGTAAAATGAGTTGGAGGGGGGCAGCTAGGTGATGCAGTGGATAAAGCATTGGCCCTGGATTCAGGAGGACCTGAGTTCAAATCCAACCTCAGACACATAACTCTTACTAGCTATGTGACCCTGGGCAAGTCACTTAACCCCACTGCCTAGCCCCACAAAAAAATGAGTTGGAGAAAGAAATGGCAAACCACTCCCAGTATCTTTGCCAAGAAAACCCCAAATGGGGTCATGGAGAGTCAGATACTGAACAATGATTACGTAGTTTTATTTATAACAACCCTATGGAGGAGGTGGGGATGGGGGAAGGAGGGGAATGTAGATATTATTCCCATTTTATAGATGAGAAAACTTACCAAAGAGCTGCTTCCACATGGGTAGATTTGAATACAAACCTCTTGTCTCTAGGCCCTGTGACCTGCCTAGACCCAAACAGTAGGAGGTGACCCTAAGGGCTTCCTCATGGCCCAGCTTCCCCAGCTGGCACAAATCCCAGTAGGGTGAACAGGTGTGTCCAATCACTGGAATTGGCCACAAGAGATCCCAGAAAGAATAGCAGGGATTGAGGATTTCACTCCCAACAAGTATGGAGAGCAAGGTTTGAGGTTTGCCTTTCCAGTAGTCAAGTGACTACTGTTCAAAGTGCAGGCCGGCCTCTCATTTCCAAGGTCCGGCCTTCAGGGTATGAAGGACAATGAGTGTTCACTCAAAAACCAGAAGAAAAAAGAAAGAGAAAAGAGGATTTGAAAGGGGCGCAGGGACAAGCACCCTGACCTGTGCCAGTAGGACGGGGGAGGGACAGGAGGTAACATAGAGGAGGAAGGAGAGAAGGAAGGAGTGAATTCACCAAGCTAGATGTCATCGAGAGGAGATCTAACATCACTGTCTGCTAAGGAGACACACACGCAAGGGTGAGACATGGTGGAAAACATTTGGGTGAAGGTCAAGGGAGAAATTGAAGAGGCTTGTCCCGGAAGTACACTGCAGACCGCTTGGGCAGGAGAATGTGGAAAAGGTGCTGAAGAAACAGGTCATGACCTAGACACGAAATCATGAAAGAGAAGAGATGGGGCTCTTACCTTGCCAAGAACCAGCCATCTCCACACGGCGCCATTTTGTCTGCATCCCCAGTGCTCCTTCTCCAGCCCCCCTTGGGGACTCATCTTCCTCATTAGAATGTAAGCTCCTTAAGGGCAGCGACTACCTTGCTTGTACTAGCATCCCCAACACAGCTCAGTGCTTGGCACATCTATGTATCATATCTTATCTCTCTCTCTCTCTCTCCATCTATCATCTCTACCTCTAACATCTCTTTCTATCTCCCTGTCTCTCTCATCTATTTATCTGTCATCTATCTAGTGACAGAAAACTTCAGTTATCTAGGCATCTGTTGAGACTATCTTTCTGTCCAAAAAACAGCTAATGAATTCTTGTCTTGAATCCCCCTTCAATCAATGGAGAAAGCAGCCAGCAAGAAAGAGCTGACTGGTGATAGGGAAATGGTGGAACCTTTGAGGGAAATATCTCCTTCATCGTGGAGTAGTGGAGAAGCAGAGGAAAGCTGGGTGGAGCCTGATGTATACCCTGCGTTTGGGGGAGCCGATTTCAAAGGGTACAGAGAGAAAGTAGGTAGAATCGTGGGGATGAGAATTCTACAGGGGACGTCAGTCCAAGAGGGACGGGTTTGAACTCAGGTCCCCCCTGACTCCGGGCCCAGCACTCTATCTACCGTGCCACCTTTTATTTTCTGTTACTTTACCCAAGAGAATGTTCCTGTACTGGAGAGAACAAAAAAGATCAACGAGGACCTGGGACGTAATGAGCCAGCACCACGGCTCCTGCTGAGCACAAGTCACCAGGCCCTTGGGTACGGAGAAAAGTCTGTCGGAACGATTGTGCTATGGATCGAGGGCCTCTGAATAATGTTGTAGAATAGGAGAAGTATCAGTATCGGAGAAGGATGAAAATGGTCTTGATTTTTAAAAGGTGGAAGATCCCAGAGCCAGCAGATTCTAGGCCAGTGAATTTGACTGACTCCTGGCGAAATTCTAGGACTACTAAGTGTTGGGCCACTTTCAGTGATTCCTGAAAGACCGTGGGGATGGGAGAGGAGCCCCAGTTTTGTTTTGGTTTTTTTCTGGTGAGGCAATTAGGGTTAAGTGACTTGCCCAGGGTTACACAGCGTTGCTCTGAGACTGGATTTGAACTCAGGTCCTCCTGACTCCAGGGCTGGTGCTCTATCCACTGCGCCACCCAGCTACCCAAGCCCCAGCTTTGGAGACCAGCAAATGTCGCAGCTTCCACACCAGAAAGAGCCCAGAGTCTGCAAAGTAGAGGCCAATCAGTCGGACTCCTGGTCAAATTCTTGCGTGCGTTTTCTCAGCGGTGTGGGTGGTAAACATCAAGAAAGGGAAACAGTGATCACAGAGAGTCAGCAGGGCTTCACCGAGAACACGTTGCCCTGGCCTAACCAGAATTTCTCTTCTGACTGAGCTGCTCAACTGGTAAATCAGGGCGTGGACAGAGGTCCTCATGGCAGCCTGTTGTGGGCAAGACAGCAATAATACGAGCTAACGCTCAGGCTTTCAAGTCTGCAAAGCACTTTACACGTCACCTCATTTGAACCTCACAGTAATCCTGTGAGGTGGGTGCCATCAGTATCCCCGTTGTACAGATGAGGAAATTGAGGTTGAGAGGCAAAGTGACTTGCCTAGAGTCTCACTGCCTGAGACAGGATTGGAACTCAGGTCTTCCTCACTTTGCCAAGCCCAGTGGTCTACTTACTGAGCCACCTAGGTGACAGAATCACACCATCTCAGAACCTTGGAGGTGGAAGGGAGGACACTGAGTCCCCTCATACCTGAGTAAGAATCCTCATTTCATGGACAAACGGCCAACAAGTCAAGGCCTAAATCAATCATTCAAGCAACAAGCATTTTGTTAGGTGCTTCCAATGTGCATGAGTGAGTGCGTGTGCATGTGCGTGCGTGTGTGTAAATACAGAGACAGAGAGACAGAGATGCGGTCAAGAGAGAAAGAGACAAAGGGAGAGAGGGAGAAAGAGAGAGAGAGTAGACAGAACGGGGGGAGGGGGAAGAGAGGGAAGGAAGGGGAGAGAGGGAGGGAGAGAGAGAGAGAGAGAGAGAGGGAGGGAGGGAGAGAGAGTGCGTGTGAGCACATTTTGGGGATTTCGGGGATGGAGGAAGGGGCAGGGCCGGACAGCCCGTGTGAAGACATGGAGACCCAGCTTGGGCTGCAGTGTCTGAGGAATAGCAAGGCCAGGTTGGCTGGGCCTCGGCTCAGCTCGTGGTAAGGGGAGGAAGTGGTGGGAGTGGCGATAGGCCTGGAGAGGGGGCCCGGAGGCAACAGCGAAGCAGTGGAGGTTCCAAGGCCTTGGAGCCTCCCAAGACAGTCCATCCCCCCCTCATGATGACGAGGAAGTTTCTCTATCTCGCCTCTATCTGCCCCTCGGCAGTTCCCCCCATCGTTCTGCCCTCTTAAAAAAGCTCACGAAGACTCCTGGCCAAGACGGCCCTCAGTTCCTGAGTCGCTTCTCCGGCTACACATCCCGGGTCCTCCCGCTTCAGCGTCTGCTCCAGCGCCTGCCTCCAGCGGGAGGCACTGTAGATGCTGTCGGGCCGGGGCAGGCGCAGCAGTCACTTTTCTGGGGGCCGTGTCCCCCCACCCCTCGACTTGCGGGGGACTTGCCCACCCTCCTCCCAGATCTTTTCCTGGATTGTACTAAGTGTAGCCGCAGCTCCCCCATCCGATGTAGAACTTCACGTTTTTCTCTATTAAATTTCACTTTGGTCAACTGAGCGCATTCATTTGTCCCTTTGGATTTTGACTCTGTCATCCCACACACCGGAGCTCTTTCCCGATTTCCTATCATTTACAAATCCAACAGCCGTGCCTTCTACACCCTTCTTCGAGTCACTGACAAAAATGTGAGCAGAGCCCAGACCCTTGGGGTCTTCCATCAAGGCCTGCCCTCCAGGTGACACTGACTCAGCCATGGCTACCATGGGGGTCTGATCATTTGAGCCCCTAACTGTACTGTCATCTGGGCCCTGGCCACCTCATCTTGCCCACGAGCACAGCACGAGAGATCTTCTCAAATGCTACGTTACGAAGCAGCCCGCCTTGACGGCATCCCCTGGATCTGCCCGGGAATTCCCTGGACCCGTGGGTACGGACAGATTTTAATCTGTGGGGTTGCCCAGCCCCACACATGGTAGTTAGATGCAGCCAGAATTGGATGGTTAGTCCTAACGAGTCATTATCAATAGCTTAATGTAAAATGAGGTGGTGTTTGTAAAGCGCTTAGCACAATGCTTGCTACATAGCGCTTAATACATGTGCGTTCCTTTCTCTTGAAGTCCGCTTGGAGAAGGGAGGTCTCTAGTGGAATGCCCCAAGGATCTAGGTTTGGTCCTGGGCTATCTAGCATTTTTATGAAGGTCTAAACAAATAGCTGGCAAGCTTGCGTGATTTATGGGGGACAGGAAACTGGGACGGGGAGACACCATGGCAGATGACATGGGAGATAGTCGATACCATGGGAGAGAGAGTGTTGGGTTGTACTTAAGAAGGTGCAATTTGAGAGGCATAGCCTGGCACCAAGGTTCAAAAATCAGCCTTTCGAGACGGCCTAGGAAGATGGGCTAGAGCAGCCAGACAGCATTTTGTCTGGGAGAGAGCTGGCAGGTGGGCTGGACGACCAGCTCAAGAAGTCAGCGGTGGGAGGGGGCGGCTGAGAAGACTCATGTGATCTCGGGATGCATGAGGAGAGCCTCTGAGCACCCAGGGTAGGAGAGGAGAGGGTCCCACTGTCCTCTGTACTGCTTAGAACCCAACTGGGATGACATGTTCTGTTCTGGATGCCACAGACTGGAAGGACGTCAATAAGCTGTCCAGAGGCAGGTGAATAAGATGAAGGCATCGTTAGGACCAGCTGTCACAGCTGAGGCTGTTAAGCCTGGGGGATAAATGAGGGCTGTATTCTGAAGGAGGGCTTTGCCTTGCTCTCTGGGTCCCAGAGGGTGAACAGAAGGTGTAAAGGGACAGAGAGGCCTAAGTTTGAGGTCAGGACATCTTTGCTAATAATGAGAGCTGTCCCAGAGTGGAGCAGTCTGGCCTGACTCAGGCAGAGAAGGCACCCCCTTCCCGAGAAGGCTGGAGGCCCACTTGTCAGAAATGGGCCTGGGATGCTGGAGAGGGGGTTCTCCTCATTCAGGTACCAGCGGGATGCCTCTCGGATGAGAGTTTGGGGTTCTCTGATGTCTAAACGAAGCCCTAACTACTGAGGAGTAAGCCCCGTGGCCAGATGGGTGGGTTGGGGTCCTAGGGCAGGAGAGCTGGGCGGGACCTTGGGGAGTGTATAGTCCAACCCTCTCCACCGCTCCCCGCCACTGCACAAGTAATCGAACTGAGGTCCCAAGAGCGTTGGGACGGGGGAAAGAGGGCTGGTTGTGTCCCCCTGCACACAAGGCTTTAAGCTGTGCCATACTATACACTGTTACTAGCTTACAACCTGACAACCGGAGCCAATGAGGAAATCAATTGAGAAATAAAGTATGAGGTAGCCTAGAACGTGCTCAGCCATTACGCATACAAAGCCAAAGGAGCCGGCCAGCTGCCGGTGGGCCCTCAGGTCGGTCACTGAGGGACCCCTGCTAGGCCTGTCTCCAGCCTGGCCCCTCCTCTGGGGCTCACCAGCTGGGGCACCCTGAGCTCCCTGGCAGTTTGGCAGAAGCTGGAGACAATGCCTTCCCGGGAAGGGTGAGGTGGGGAAGGAGAAAATGCCGAGGTCTGGGAAGAAAACGGGGTGTGGAGCACCCGGAGAAGCTCTGGCTGAGGAGCCGGGCCAAGGGACACAAGAGAACTCGGACCACTTACAGCTGTGCGGCCAGGACAGCCAGCATGGCGTCCAAGCTCCCCAGGGTTCCCCAACAGGCTGGTGGGGACCAAGAACCCAGGGCACTTACCCGCCTCTTCAGCGTTCCCGGACTGACGGGCGGCAGAGAGAGTAGGATGAGGATGAGGATAAAGCTGACCTGTGTCACTGGTGCCATTGTTCCTGGGCTGGAGAGATGGAGGAGTTATGGGTGTTGAATACCGGAGACCCCATTGCCCTCAGTGAGTCTGCATCCCCCTTGCTAAACCCCCA